CCCGCCGCAGCCCCCGCCGCCGGCAGCCCCCAGAGCAGCCCCTGGCTCGGGCTGACGCTCCCCGATGCAGCCGATTAATGTTGATCCGAACTGTCAGGAGGAAGGTGGGGAAGCAAAAGAAGAGAGAAACGCCGCTTATTAAGCTAAAAGCATTATCTGAGCTAGCTGGCAGGAGCGTGGTCTGCACGGATGCTTGCGTTATTAAAAGTGCACTTTAAATCAACTGCGCTTACTTCTGGTGTATTAAACAGGCCGGTGTGGTGGGTGCGCACGGGGATGGCCACGGTCCCCGCGATCCAGGGCACCCCACTCCAGCCCCGTGGGTCGGGAGGCAAAGCCTCGTGGGGACAGGGAGGGACCTGCCGGGCAAAGACGACCGAGCAGCACAGCCTCCCTCGGACAAGAAATCGCTTCCCCGCTCCCTGCTGACAGCCCTGCCGGGGAAGCGGTGGTGGGTTATCGAGATCTGTGGCCACCAGCGGGGGATTAAAGAAAAGCCTCAGGCATCTTTCACTATAAAAAACAAATCTTTTATGTAAAAAATAAACCTAAACAAAACCCACAACCCCCGCTGCCATGCTCGTGACAATACAAAAGGCCGATTCCCCAGAACACCGTGAAAACAAAGTAGCTGGATCCAAATATATATAAATTGTCAACTTACGAGATTGGAAATAGCACCTTGCTGGCCCCCCCCCGCCTCTCCCCGAAGGAGTCAGCTCCACGCCCCAAAACCACCACCCCGTACTCTGAGCCCACGGACGCCACCCTCAGCCCCCCCCCCCCCGAAAGGAGTCAGCTCCACGCCCCAAAACCACCACCCACCACCCTGGAGTCCCGTCTTCAGGCTTAGTACCCCAGGGACCCCCTGCCTGTCCCCAGGCAGCACCTCTGCTGCCCCTGGGCACCCCCCAGGAGCAGGAGCTGCTCAGCCCCCGCTGTCACGAGAGCGGAACAAGCCCAGCGCGGGATCCCAGCTGTGAGGGGTCCAGCGATATCGAGCAGCGTTTCCCAGGGCGGGATGGGCGGAAGGGGTCTCTAAAATCCAATCTCAAACCAGTATTAAGAGAAAAACACTTTTCTGTCTGCACTGCAGGGTCAAGTAACGAAAAGAAACGAAAAAGGGCCAGGGGAAGAGATGGGGAAAGAGCAGGAGCTGCATCCTGAACCCCACCCTTGGAGCCGGCGACGCTCCTCCTGCAGCCGGCCACTCCGAGGTTGCCCCCGCCGGCACCGAGCAGCAAATCGGGGTGAAAACGGTCCCTGTGTTGTCCCGCACGCAGCAGCCCTGCAGCCCCCGCGCTTGTCTCAGTCCCATGTCGTCGGACGCCAGACCGAGCAGGCAAATACTCCGGCGTGTGCCGCGTGACAGGTGCTGGCGAGGACGCGAGCCAGGCGCGCTTGCACGTCTGCGTGTGCAGGTGCCCGAGGGCGGGCTGGTTCTTCCCCAGGAGCTGGGCAGGGAGAGGCAGAGGGGTGCGAGGGCAGGGGGTGCCTCTTCATTTGGCTGGTTTGGTGATGATGCGAGCGGAGAAGTCAAAGAGGTTCTTGTTGATTTTCCGGAGGGTGCTCACCTCCTCTTCCAGCTCGCTCACCTGGATCGTCAGATGCTCCTGGTCTCCCACCAGGTTCTGTGACAGAAAAACACGACAGAAAAGCTTCAGGCACCCGGGTCTCATCTCTGGCAGGTGGAGGCAAGTGCTTCCCTGGACAGCAGCAAACCCCAAACTCTTTTGCCCTCTCCCTCCTCCATCTCCTACTCAAACTGCAGCCCCTCCTGCCTACACCATGTCCTGGTTTCGGCTGGGACAGAGTTAAATTCCTTCCTAGTAGCCTGTACAGTGCCGTGTTCTGGATTTAGGATGAGAACAATGTTGATAACACACCGATGTTTCAGTTGTTGCTGAGCAGTGCTTACACCAGTCAAGGACTTTTCAGCTGCTCATGCCCTGCCAGCGAGAAGCCGGGAGGGGGCACAGCCAGGACAGCTGACCCAAACTGGCCAAAGGGATATTCCATACCATGGGACGTCATGCTCAGTATATAAACTGGGGGGAGTTAGCTGGTGGGGGGTGACTGCTGCTCGGGGACTGGCTGGGCATCGGTCGGCGGGTGGTGAGCAATTGTGCATTGTGCATCACTTATTTTGTATATTCTTTTATAATTATTATTATTTTCCCTTCCTTTTCTGTCCTATTAAACTGTCTTTATCTCAACCCATGAATGTTACTTTTTTTTCTCCGATTCTCTCCCCCACCCCACTGCCGGGGGGGAAGCGAGCGAATGGCTGCGTGGCGTTTAGCTGCCTGCCCGGTTAAACCACAACAACCATCAGCGAATTCCAGGGCTCGTTCCTCCCCCCAGCTTGGCGCAGTGCCCTAAGGACCGCTTCAGCTGGAGAGAGGACCCCCCAGGGGATCTGCACCAGGACGCGATTCCCCCATCGTCTCGGAGCAGCTCTCACCTTTTCCCTTGTTGAGTACATCTGTGAGTACATCTTCTCAGCCTTCTCCAGGTAGCTCTCCCCAGACTCCTGCAGGGACCAGACAGGAGACACTGATACAGAAGTCCTGGGCCCTCTCCCAGCACCCCCGGGCAGGGTTCCCCGCTGGAGTAGGCAAAGAAACCCCCCCGGCCCTCAGCCCCCAGCCCCGCGGGCCAAAGCAGTGACTGAGCAGAGACTCCAGCGGGGTACGGCCAACACTGCGGCACCGGCAGAGCCTGGCTGGAGCTGCAGCCCCTTTCAAAAATGGAAGGTCTGTGCCCAGGGCTGGGCAGGGGGCCCAGAACGGTCCCCTCGAGTGTGCCTTGTGCAGGGGTCTGCCAAGCTCCTCTCCCAGCACAGACAGAGCCCTTCGCCTGGGCAGGGGGAAGCGCTGGGCTCCCCACGCCACAGGCTGCTCTCCCCAGCATCGTGCTGCGAGCGGAGGAGCCCGACTGACTGCGGGACTGACATTTCCAAAACAGCACCTGAGCTGGCCCTGCACCACCGGGGTGCCATCCCCTCCGCCGAGCAGCAGGCAAACAGCCCCTCCTGGACCGGCTGACACCTCCCCTACACGGAGCTCATCCATCAGCCGTGGCAGGGCTGTCGCTCGCCCAGGGACAGACGCTGACAGAGGAGAGAAGCTCTGGGACTGCCGGCAGAGAGGCCAGGGGACAGACGGACCGGCACGGAGCGAGCCTGTAATCATTGACGGTGCAGGATACCCCCCCTGCCTGGGGATGGCCACGCTGGGGTGACTTCAAAGGGACACCCTGCGCCCCAGCCAGGACCCTGCCCCACTTGGAGACCTCGGTCCGGGGGCTCCTCTCCCCCAGCCAAGAGCAGCCCAGACGCAGCTGAGAGCAGGGGAAGAGCCTGCC